AGACTGGATAAAATAAGAAACGAAGTGGTGTGGGAAAGAGCTGAGGTTCAAACAACCATAACCAGAAAACTAGAAAATAAAGCTCTTCAGTGGTATGGACATATCCAGAGGATACGAAATGAGAGATGGCCAAAACAAATTTTAAATTGGACACCTGAAAGAGGACGTAGAAGAGGTAGACCTGGTTTAACCTGGAAGAAGTATATACATGAAGTTATGGAGGAGAAAGGATTGGAAGAGGGTCAATGGGAGGACCGAGAATTATGGAAGTCAAAAACGGCAAACTCTAAGGGGTAGAAACCGTCGAAGAAGAAGAAAAAGAAGGAGACCCCCTGAATTGTTTCTCGTTCGTCTGCACGCAATAAATCAGCTTGCTAAATGTGAATGTTTTATCGCGAGAGTGGCTGTGATTCATTCCCCGATGAATGGTGAGATTCCACATCGACCTATACGTAGGCTTGCAGGGGAATTTACCAATCCAGGTATCTCCCCCCGACGAGCCATGACCTCAACGAGGACAAAATCCAAGTTTCCGACTGGTCCCCTGGTGTGGTAGTGTACGATAGTGTGTGTAAAGGGAGAGGATAGGACGAGGAAGAGGAAGGAACGACCGCGCGCGGTCCGTGGAGTTAGGGTACAGTTGCGGCATTTTCCTGAATATCGAAGAAACCACGGAAAATTACCGATCAGAGCAGACTGCCGCTAGAATTCTCCTCCAGACAGCGACTGAATTGGCCCTAGCAATGTAGCTGTTGTCCAAAATCCGTCTCCATCGGGACTCGAACCCTGGGATCTCCCGGAGAGAGTCGCTTCGGAGACAACGGCAGTGCTGGCCCCGAGCTAAGCCCAGCCGGTTTCTCCGTAAGGCAACGCTGCGCGCGCAGCACGCGGACTTCTGCATTCGTCTCACATAACTGTCTTAGAATTGAGAATATCTTCTATTGAAATAATTATCTATTTCGTACATTCTGTAGGTATTTTTGTACTTCTTCACAATGTTTCCTTATATACACTTAACCTTGCTAAGTTGTCAGATCGCCGGGAGAAAAAAAAAGTCCAATTTCCTAAAAATCGATAACGAGATGTCTATAAACGTAGCGTGGTCACCAGATACCAACAGGGCACAATCCTGTTGCCACTTATCTTCCCCAGACGACTGTCGATCTGTTCCGACTCTCTCAACTCTTCGGACTTCTCTCTTGGCGCTTGCGAGCCCGTGAAATAGCAGGCGCCCTTGTTAGCCGAGACTCGCTTTAATGCATGGGGGTTGCTGGAGCGAGTCCCGC